TATAAAAATTATAATAAAAATATATAAATAATGTTGGCTATATTAAAATGGAACATATCAATTTTTTATATTTTATATAAAGGGAGAGACATTTAAAATATTTTATAACATCTATATTTTTCGAATCTTAATTATAAAAACTTTAGAAGAATCAGTGATTAATTTGACAAATTTTATACATTTATTAATTAATTATTTATTAATTTTATACATTTATTATTTATTAATTTTATACATTTATAATTTTATACATTTTGTATTTATAATTAAATTTTTAAATAATTAAAAAAATGATTAATAAATATCAAAGATCAGTTTACTAATTAAGATTTATAGAAATACGGTTTAAAATGTTTTTATTCCACAGCAGGCATTTTGTGTTTTGTAATAAATAAAAATATATAAATATGACAATAAATATAGAAAAATATTTGTTTCATCTTTGAACATAACATTGAAAGATTACAGTATCTTTTGCGATTGAATAATTTATTTACTATCAATTTATATATATAAGTGTCTTGTTATATTCTAGTGCTACCGGTATTTCGTGCACATGGAACGAAACCAGAAATTGTGCACATTATACCCTCTGAGAACATTCATGGGCATTGGCTTTGTAGTTCATGTCCGTTTTCAATGTCCATAGAGGGAGTATCGATTTCAGGGATCACCTAAAAGCAGACCATGACATCTCTCAGTCTTCTCTCTAACAGTATACGCCATTTGCGGTTCATCACATCGATGTATTGTATGATAGTGTTGGATGGTATGGTTGGATGTGCACGAGAATCGCGGTCTTGACAACTTTTCCACTGGTGGTGTCTGTTAATGTCATACATATTTTTCGCGCTTTTTTACCCACTATCTCAATACACATAATTATATCTTGCCAAATATTTTTTTTCATATGTGTGACTATAAGCATAAATCATAAGCAACGTTTCCGATACGATACCATTGACGTATATGATACATCAACATGTCTGCTCTTCAAAAGTCAATTTTAAAATCCAGGTTACCACCGTCAGCTGTCAATTTTTCGGCATTAAATTCCAGGTTTGTGTAGCTTTCTGCGAAATTGTGTACGTACAAGCATTAATTAGTTGAATTATTAGTTGAAAGGTGGAGTGAAATATATTTCGGATTTTTGCAAAATCGTGCAAAAGAATATATCTTCTTTTTTAGAATTAATAAGTCAAGAACCCAGAGAAAAAGAGATTACGATCCGGTACAGTGGAATCCGTACTTCGATCATTCCAAAGATGTGCCAATAGGACAGAATACATTTCATGTTTACATCAAAGGCACTGAAGGGCCATTATTAGTTTTATTGCACGGTGGTGGTTACAGTGGTTTAACATGGGCAGAACTTACAGTAGGCATCATTTGCAAAAATCAATTATACACATAAAAAAAAAATTAATACATGATGTAAATTTTAGAAATCGATTATGACAATGGTATTGTGTAGAGTTATGGCTATTGATCTTAGAGGTCATGGAGATACTCATACTACAGATGATGAAGATTTGTCCGCAGATACTTTAGCATCGTAAGTAAATATATATTTTTTTTTACTTAAAAAACAGATATATAAAAAGTTTATATATAATAAAAAAAATTATATATATATATATATATATATATATATATATATATATATATATGTACAGCTTTCTTTAATATTTTTAAATTCCAAATTAGCTGTTTTTCTTTGAATACAAGATTTTTTTTGCAATATCACTATGAGTGTTGATATTTAAGTTTCTTTATTATGAACGCAAAAACAATTGTGAAATTATATGTACAATTTGAAATTGTATATAAAGCACAATATTAAAAAATTTTATTTATTTTATAAATGTCATACTATATTGATTTTCTTATGTAAGCCATTCAATACAAAATCTTAAGAAATCTTTTCTATTTTTAATTACTTATCTTTATTTAGGGATGTTGCAGCTATTATAGATGCAATTGCAGATGACGCTCCAATAATTCTTGTCGGCCACAGTATGGGTGGAGCAGTAGCTGTGAAAGCAGCTCCATTAATTCCAAATTTATATGGATTAGGAGTTATAGATGTCGTAGAGGGTACAGCAATGGATGCATTAGCTTCTATGCAGAGTTTTTTAAGATCTCGGCCATCTAGTTTTAACACTATATCTCAAGCTATAGAATGGTGGTTAGTATTCAACATATTTTTTATATTTTAATCATTGTACTATGACAAATGTGTTCTATAAATGATTAAATTTGTTTTTTGAAAATAACTAGTAGTATAAATTATATTAGTTTATGCAACATTGCTTTTATTTCTATATAAAATAAAGTTTTAAAATAAAATTAAGCAATTTAAATTGATTATTTTTTGTGTTTTTATTTAGCGTTCGCAGTGGACAAATTCGTAATATACAGTCTGCAAAGGTCTCAGTTCCTGGACAAATAAAGAAGTTAGTGAGTTGTTGAAGATATTTAAGCTTTTCTAATATTTTTATATTAAAATGTAAAATCAAATTATGTGCAACACATGTGCCATTTCAGCATTGAAACTAACAAATTAGCAACTCATGATATTGACTCATTGCCAACCCAATACAACACATGTGAATCTAATCCAGAACCAGTTATAACACGAGATGATATTATCCAAGAGGAAGAATCATTTAGTATGCCACCACCATCATCACCTGCATCTTCTACTGTTTCTGCTAACAGGAAATATGTATGGAGAATAGATTTGGCAAAGACAGAACAGCATTGGTTTGGTTGGTTTAAAGGATTATCAACCGCATTCTTGAATGTTCCAGTTCCAAAAATGTTATTGTTAGCAGGAGTTGATAGATTAGATCGTGAACTTACTGTAGGACAAATGCAAGGTATATTATTTACAAAACTATATGCTATATATATACAACATGGCTTTTGATATTTTCTAATAAAATAATTATTCTTTTATGAAAAAAATAGGTAAATTCCAAATGCAAGTTTTACCCGCATGTGGACATGCTGTTCATGAAGACGTTCCAGATAAAGTAGCTGAAGCTATCGCTACATTTATGGTCAGGCATAAGTTTGCAGAACCAGCCTCGGATTTTCCACGGTAAATCAAAATGTATTCTCTAGTTTTCATAATTAAAATTTAATCGATATTTTTTATTAATAGAATTTAATAGATATTTTTTATGAATGTTTTTGGAAAGAGAGATAAAGTGAACATTCTCTAGATTTCTAATAATTTTTAAAAGTTTGATTTATAAAAAATGTATAACTTATTACTATAATTGTTTCAGGACTTTTCCGGCTTGTTAAAAAAAATGAACTATTGTAATGTAAATTATTAAATAATGCGAAGGATTTTTTTTTAATTAGTCAATGACGATTTTATTTATTTCAAGAGAAGTTATAATCACCAAATATAAAAACATACATCATACATGTGTAAATAAAGACATTTAGTTTAATGAGAAAAATAAAAATTGTTCTTATACATGTAAATTGTCTTCTTTTATCGAAGTTTAAGCTTGTCAAATTTTAATTTGTATGAAGTTATTAATGTATAATTTAATACACAGACATATATTTGATGTTTTATATTTATAATACTTATTTTTCTCAGTTATTTTTTTCAGTTTCTCTCTCAGCCTTTTTTATATCACTCATTTATAGCAATAATTAATCAATAATTTATTATACATTAACAATTTCAAGATATTTATAAACAACAGTATTACCTGTATTATAATCTCTCTTTGAAAAAGAAAATAGTTCACATGTATATTTTATTAAAAAACTTTGGCTTATTTTCTAATTTAGATTCTAATAGATATGAATCACACTACAACTATTGTCATTAACAAAATCATTATTACATTGAAAATTTATATAAAATCGCAGTAATATGTACAAATTCGTAAATAAGCACTGAAATAAACACATGATAGTTACAAATTGGAATTTCCTTAATACAGTATAACCATACAAAATCGTGTAAAAATTCTATAAAAGGTATTTTTATACTAATTATACTAATATATAAAAGATGTATTTATACTAATGTAAGAAGAAATTTAATATTTATTCATAAATGAAATTACCTATAAAACTGTTTCAGAAAAATAACACTATAATTAATTTAACATATATGCAATATCACAAGAGAGCAGATTGTGTTATACTCCTAAAACATCTAATTCACATTTATTATGAATGTAGAATCATGTAAAGATAAGTCTTATTGACTGTTGATCAAGTAAAAATGATTTAAATACTATTAGTTAAATTTTTGACAACAACGCAGGGTCCCGCACGACCAGCTTTAAGAGGAGCAACCTTTAAATATATAAACATATTTAAATTTCATAATATATGCAACGTACATTTAAAATTATTTCTCAATTACGAGAATAGTTTACACATATAACTTACGGATTCCCATTCATTGAGATGTGGATCATAAGCTTCTACCAACGTGAGATATTGCTGACCATCATATCCTCCCACAGCTATAAGTCGGTCACCTAGTACACACACACCGACTGCATCCCGGGGTACACTCATTGGCGCAACCATTGTCCATGTATCGGTTTTAGGATCATATCTAATGTCACGTTCTATTATGTATAATTTGAAAAATTTTGAATGCATTTATAATGTAATGTAGCGTAACTTCACCTCTCTACACAGTCGAATCTGCTAGCATTAGGATTAGAGGCCGGAGCATCGTGACCACCAAGTGCGTAAAGACAACCATTTACTACTCCCACGCCTACACCACCTCGTCTCTTCGACATAGGCGCACATGGTGTCCACTTATTAGTATGTGGATCGTAACATTCTACCGTATTTAAACAGGAACTGATATCTCTTCCTCCTACAGCGTATAATCTAAGTCGAAATGTCATAAGTTTGAAAACTACATGAACTGATCTTAAAAACATAATATTGAATAAGATTTTTTACTTTAAATAATTGTCTCTATGAAGAATTGTCTCTATTTGCATTGAATGATGAATATGTAATTACAGTAAAATTAATTTTTAGAAACTAAATATAGTTAAATCGAACTTAATATAGGTAAATCGATTTTCTAAACTAGTCTTATAATTTTTTCTAAAATATTATTGTGACACTTCAAAATTTTAAATCCATAAAGCTTCCATGTAATTTTTTAAGATTAACAATTTATCAATATATCAAAACTTACTTATCATTTAATACAGCTACACCAACTGTAGATCTTTGTATAGACATAGAACATATAGAACTCCATTGACGCGTTGCTGGATCCCATCTCTCTACTGTATCGAGAAAACTCCAACCATCGTGACCACCAACAGCATACAAGGGTCCACCTAAGACTGCCACTCCTGTATAAAAAATATTATTTGCCAAGTTATTATAAATAAATAAATCACGTGTATAAGTATTGCAAATTCTTTCAGATCGATATATACCTAAGCCATGACGATGCACATTCATGGGTGGTAATGTACTCCAGGAAAAAGTGGAGAAATCAAAGCATTCTACTGTGTTTAGCGTTTTTAAACCATCTCTACCGCCCGCAATGATTAATTTCTTATCGACTATTACAGCACCAAATTGTAATTTTCTGCTACTCATGGCAGCTAGAGATTTCCAAGCATTATCGCGTAATGAAAATGCATCTATGGATGTAGCACCTGAAAGTTGTGTTTTTGCATTATATTTATTTTAATTATAATCGATATTATAAATAATTTTTTATATTAGGAATTACCTTTATTAGCATCCATTCCTCCAACAGCTAACAAAGTACCCACAGTAGCTTTTCTCGGTTTCGTTCTTCCTGATTGAAGCAGAGGTCTTCGTTCAGGCAACAGATGGTACTTCAATGCTTCCATTACTAATTCCTGCGCCATTCTTTGGTCTTTGAAAATTTCATTGCTCTCAATATTGTCAGCTATAAACTATTTTTTTATTTATTAGTTGATTCACAATATAGTTTTTTGCTAAGTAAAAGGATTAAGTTGCCGATGAACTCACCGCAGGTGATAATAATGGTAATTTGACTAGACCTAATAATTTGCTGGCATCTTTGCTCCTGTTTTCTGGATCATGTTCCAACCAAATCATAAGGGCCTGAAACAATATTGTGATAGTAATAACAGTTGTGTTACTCTGTATATTGTGCTTATATTTTAATTGCATATATGTGAATTTACTTTTAAGTAATTAAAAAAAAATCTTTGATTATATAAAAGCATACACACTCATAATCAAATATTTTATATATATATATATATATATATATATATATATATATATATAAAATTCAAACTTTCATTTTCTTAATATGATAAATTTTTGCATTTAATATTATTTACATTTATTTGTATTTAATGTTATTTCATAAATATAATGCTTGTAGCCTGTAATCTTACATGGAAGATAGTTTCTTCTGAAGGAACATTAAGATCTTCGGATTCAAGTAATTTTGTAACTTCATTGGCAGATAGAAGTAAAAATTCTTGATTTTTTGTAACTTCCATAAAATGTTTGGTAGTATATGCATGTGCATGCTCAAATAATTCTGTACAGCCCTGTGTATCAGCAAACATCCGTATACCAAGGCAGTTACTTGGATGAAGCTGTTTGATAAGAAATTGACAGCATGCTTTAATAACTGGATTTAATTGTAATAGGCACGCAGTTGCAAGAAGGGTTTCTACACTATCTTCCTGCAATTCTATGCAACCTATATGTAGACATAAGAAATATATTAAAAGGAATCATTAATAAAAATGGTTAAACAAATTAACTCATATATATTTTTTATTTTTTATATTTTTATTTTTTTTAGCTCTTTTAATCTTTTTTCAATATAATATTAATATTCCTAAAAAATATTCTTTTAGAACAAATGTATTTTAAACAGAATTATATATACCTGTATAACAATAAAGAACTAGAGCCCATAATGCATCTCCATCTACATCCATTAATTCTATTTCATTTTGTGCTGATTCTCTTAGAGAGCTTGTGAACATGGCAGCAAAATATTCTGAACCAGCACTTAGCACTAATCGATGAGCTGGGATACGTTTATTTCCTAGAGGGAAAATGTACAGAGTAAAAAATATAAAAAATATAAATATTTTATGTAAATATTTCAAAATTACTTATTAATTGCATTTTCAATATTTATAAATTTTTAAATATGCAAGGATTTTTTCATGTAGAATATGCTTTATCAGACTTTCATATAGAAACTTGGAACAATAGCCATTAATTACATTAATCAACAAATTATTAACAATTACCAAATTATCAAATTAACAATTTTTAACAATAATCATATATGTATGTATATTTGTATGGATGATAAAAAAATTTTGATTCTTGAAAAATAAACCTCTATTTATTAAAAAATAAAAGGATAATATAATAATATTATCTATTATCTCTTATTATCTATGAATTGATATTCATATTTCCTTATTAACTATTATCATAAGAATTATCTTAATAATTAAGGCAGCATCAACATAGATATACGACGAAATATTCACGCGTTTGTATCGAACAAAGAGTCAGGTCCAGCCCGCTCACCCGCGATCAACGTAACGTCTGTCAGCTGTTGCTTGTGCAAATAGCTTTCCATCACCCGGAGGCTGGTCTCTGCGTGCTTCGGCGAAATAGACACGCACGACATCATGCTGGAGATGCTATGCTCGCTAGCATCCTTATCGAGGCCCAGAGGAAATTCCTGTTGCTCGCCTTTATTCGTAGTCCTCGCGGGAGAACTTCCCGCTACCTTCGACGATGACATTTTCATTCGCGATCGCTTATCGTCGCGAGAACGACGACGATCGGAAGGAACCCACCAACGAAGAGACACGGGACGCCGTTTTTTCAGGATCGTTGAGTTGTGCGTTGTGCACGACGAGATGTAAACAATAGGTCGCGCTCAGTCGCGGTCAGTGACCATTTGCTATTCACCTCACAGGTCAGCGCACTCGACACCGATTAACGCTACTAATTGTCAGTTGCTATCTATTTCTACTAGTCTACTTGCTAGTCGCTCAACAGTAGTCAGTCGAAGTCATTTGCATTTGCTACGCGACGCCCACACACCATATACACATCGTGCGAAATAAACAAAGAGCCGAGTGTATGTATACAGCCGCCAGCTGTGATGATACGAGAACGCACGAAGCTGCACGATCCTGCATCACATCTCACACACACACATACTGGTCTTTCTTCCTTATTCCCTTCTTTATATATAATGTGTGTGTGTGTGTGTGTGTGTGTGAGATACCATTAATATTTTTTTTATATAATTTTATATAAAATAAATTATATAAAATGTATAAAAAATTATATAAAATATATATATATAAAATAAATTATATAAAATATATAAAAAATAATAAAAAATAATTTTATATAAATTTTATATAATTTTTGGTTTTTTGAATCAAAATATGTATATGTATTGAAGGATCACCGAATTGCAGGGGTATAGCCAGGTAGAGATGTTAGAGCAGCCAAGAAAATTAACAGAAAAAATTCAATGTCCGATGACAAAATAAAAAGAGGATATTTATGAAAAAGTATTACTGTAACTAATACAAGATTACAAATAACTTGCAAATATTTGAAGAAAAATTAATAGAATTATTTTGATTGCTCGATTTTTCAAGAGCAGGCAAAGCCTGCTCTTGTCCCCTTTGGCTACGCCCCTGCTGAATTGTTTGTTGGATATATTATATCATATGAGAATACTATATTATTGAATTTATATTATATTATATTGAATATTATATGTAGATTAGGTTTTGTTGAATATAAAACGTTAGGCTTTCAAGAAGACTCCCTTTCAAAACTACTGTCAAGGAAGATTATTCTCTTCCCTTCAAGATTCTTATCGTGAAGACACTTGAAATAATTATAAAACAGTATATTTATTAATACTATATTCAATGGCACAATATTTCTCATTTGAACATATAAAATAAAATGTTTTTGTCTTAATTACATCTAAAGATATATAAATACAGAGGTACAGTTAGAATTACAAAAAAGTAAGACGTTTTTATTGTACTTCAATGTAAATATATAAATATATTTCTTTGGATGTATAATGCTTGTGTGCGAGTTTGTTTAGGAAAATGCACATAATCTGTGTACGTACAAGACAAATATAAGATCGATTCTATAAAGACTATGCTCTTTAATATAATACAATACGCATCATATGTAAAAGAGAATTATGAGTATTATAATCATAATTGAATAATTCACATTTGATTAATTATATAATCAATAATTATATTATATTATTATATAATCAATATTTTTTTGTCTGATAATAATATAATACATCATAGTTCCATCGCGCCTTTCTTTTTTTCCTTAAGTTACACATATCTTTATTATATATATTTTTTCACATGACTTTGGTATATAACATTGTGTTGTGCTTTAAATAATAATGAAGCTGCAATACTTGTACAAGGTTTCCAACCACTCTGCTTTCCTATGATATTATTTGTCAATATTATGCACATCAAAACAGTATATTAATATTTATAGATTTCTTTATAACATTTTAAAATGTCAGATATATTTACAGTTATGAAGTACAATAATAAATGTGTAGCGGGTTTTCTTATACAGTGGATACAAATGTACATTGTATATATAATTATTAAAATGAAATACTGTACTTAAATTTTCAGCATATTGATAAAACTGGTCATGTTCAGCAGAACTTGGCGTTATATTAATATTTTATATTGCTCTGCCAACAGTTTAAAGCTTTCTGCTGAGTGCGTTTTTCTCATCACATTTATTTACTGCTTTGTAGCATGTTACGCCTATATTTTACGTATATATATATTTTACATATTGAAAAAATTGACATTTATTTAATCAACATATTGGAAGTCAAAGAATTACTAAAAGACGTTTTGTAAAAAATCATTCAACTGTTGCAAAGTTGCTTTTCCTTGCTGCAACCAATTATTTTATATATATTATCAGATTAGAAGAAGAGAATTTATATATTTTATATATAAATTAAATTATTTTTTACAATATTACATTGAGACTAAACTTAGACAGCAGTAACAAAAACATATCGCGATTTTGAGTTGCATACATGCAGTATTTGCAAATCAATGTGAAAATACTTCATCCATAATTGCGCTAACTATTAATTACATCTAATCTCTTGTTGATTATTTATTATTTGGTAACTTGTTTTTTTTTATCATAAGAAGAATAAAAATTATATTAGCAATATAAACGTTATTTTATTTTTAGCAATTATTTTAATTAATTATAAAATAATTGGTCACTTTTTTGCCATTAAAGAAAAATATTTTAAAATACACAATTTTCACTAGAAATAATTTTTTATGTAAGTTACAGTAAAGAGAGACAAATAATCGTGTATGGCTATGAAATAAATTATGCCTATATCTTTTCTTTCTTCAGAAATAGAAAAAAATTATTGGCCAAGAAATTAATAAATCAAAGAAGTTGATGTAATCGCCCTAGTGTCATATTTTGTATCTATAGTTGCACCATAATATCTCCAGGTACTTTCCATTAATGCACTAGATGCAGATGCCTCCACCATACACTGGTTCGGACTTGATCGAGGGATCTGTGACCGATTCCGAGAAGGATTCGTAAAAGGGCCTTTTTCGACAGCAGCAGATTCGATCGAGTAACTCCGTCAAGTCGCTACTTTCGGAGTCATCTCTGAAAATACCACTCGATGCTTCTTCCGTACATGGAGCTATAAACGTCTGCAGATCGTTCCTTGGGAAACCCTCGCGATAGTAGATTTTTATTGTATCGTATGCATCCATTATCACAGAAATGAATAAACTTAAGACAACATAAATATACAACGAAATGAATGAGTATAAATAAATTCTAGAGAACCACCATAGTATTGCTGATGATTTGGAAGACGTAATGGAAAATGTGGCAAACATATCATCACCGTTGATCAACGCGAATAAGCACTCGGAGGTGGTCGCGAGGGAACGAAATTTTAAGTTGTACGGACCGAGGACCAGCCAGCCACAGAAAGTGAAACCGGCATAAATAAGGATAGCGCATATAAGAAATCTTGCCACTTTCGGCGTCGCTTTCTTCAGAGTCAAAATGACAACATTGTACGTCTTAAAGAAGCCAAGATAACGCAACACGCCAAACCATACCAGTAGATTGCCCGTGCCGAGAAATATGCTGCAAATATTCCAATGGTCGGTCTCGGAATGCTTTCGCTCAATTTGTTCCTTTATGATGGTGCCAATAATGATGAATAGATCATTAACAATGATCATAATGTACCAGAAATTTAAAAATTCTAATCGACCTTCGAGGCTTAGCGTTGTACCATACGTCTTCTTGAAGAAATGAATCGTCTCAAACTTCAGCATTTGCGCTCTATATATCGCACGCGAGCACAACAGTAAGGAAATCGTGCAGATTAGTATAACAAGCAAATTTAACAAAGTTCTCAATGCTGATTCGATGCGATTATCTGTGATATAGCGGGTGTCGCCTTTGCATTGTAATTTCCTGGCATCGGCGTCTAACGAGAGCAACATTTGTCCATCAAAATCGCGATTATCAAAATCGATCTTGACGTTGAAACGATAACAATCGGGTGGAGTCATTGGACCGGCCGCTTTTAAGTTTACTGTCTTTAGAGCAAATTTGAGATGAGCGCGTACCAGCGCAGAGAACTTAACGTTTATGTTTCTATTTTGTAGAAATTTGTGCGACGATTTAAATGTATCAAAAACCTCGAGACTGATGTTTAAGCAGGTTTCCACAATCTCGCTGTCGAACACGTAACTCTCGTTGAAGCCGAATATGGTGCCTTCCTTGTACTCGTAAAGACATAAAACTACAGGTCCGACGGAATTGTCTTCGGCGATATACGAGTACGAGCCAATAGCATCATCAACATTGTAGAAGCCATGCAGAGCATAATCAATGGCATCATAGAAATTGCTTCGTTTGTAAATGGCCAATGGTCCTGTTGCGGGTGGATATGCAGGTACCTGAAACATGCAAAATCATGTCATTTATAGCATGAGAAATAGCGATCAAAATGGAGAATTTATTTTATATATTATACCATATTTGTAGCAGTAGTTATAATATCTAAACTTTATCCAGAAGTTAAGAAACAAAACAATTACAATCACAAGCATAGGCAATACAGTAATTATTTAATAAATTATTTTTAGTTAATGCTTATAAAGCATATAAAAGGGCATATAAAATATTGAAGTGTGATTTTTATGCTATTTTTATTATACTATTTTTTAGCTTTGATTGGGCAATACAAAGATATTATTTAGATTCATATATATATATATATATATATATATATATATATATATATATATCAAAGCTAAAAAATAGTATAATAAAAATAGCATAAAAATCACACTTCAATTTTTTATATGCCTTTTAATGCTTTATATGCCTAGTATATATATATATATATAAAATATATGTGATTTATATTACCTCTTGAGTAGAGTCCCATCCCATTAAAAAGAGATGAGAGAATGTAATCCGATTATCCCAAGTATAATTCACGTGCATATAATTGTTGTGTGCGAATAAACAGAGCTGCACAGTCACAAGGATTATCTTGACGACTTGGACAACAAATTTGTATGGAAAACGCCGTTTTGCCTGCCATTTTTCAATTGGATTCATGAAAAAGAATCGCAGTTTGCGACGCATTTTCTCTTCTGCAAATGTCGTGATCGGGCAAGTTTTGCATTCTGCTGGACTAGAGTGATTTTGCCTATAATATACAAGAGATAATTTTACTTATATTATTTTATATTATCATTAAATTCTCTTTAATATTAGCATTTAATTATCTTGGGTCATAAATAAAATTCAATTGCAATAATTAAAAAGGAAAATTATACATAAATTTATAAAATATATAAAATAAATGAAATATATATTAAATTTATATATAAAAATTATACGGAATTAAAAGTTTATTCATATCTTTATCGATAATTGTGTAAAATCGATGATTTATACATTTTTGTTTAATTATGTTAGAAAGCAGATAATCTTTTTTCGAGTATGTTTACAATATGTTATCTATCAAGTACCGATTATCAGAATGAAATGTTATACTGAAATGTCGGAAACAGTCGAACCCAATGCTATTAATACTATATTTCAATACGAGTGAGTTCACTTGATCAAACCACAACAAAGGAAACATAATAACATCAAGAATGCCAAATAGAGACATATGAGATTCGCTTAATTATTGACGTGATTTAATGGTTCTCATGATAATTTCGCATAAGCATAAGCATAATCAGCGAATAATTTCGATAAGAGCGCTCTTGCTTGCGCACAAACCTCGGTTGGCTGACTTCGTTCAACAACGCGTTCTCGCTCGCGATCTCATCCTCGCTTTCGTTGTCGTGACTCCAGATGCGATTTTGCACATTGTTTCCCACCGAGTCCTCGTGCTGGAGCCTCTTGCGTACTTTCGTTGGATTTTCCTCCATCCTTTAAGCTTCCGATGTATCAAAGAATCGACGAAGCGAGCTCGAATAAAATCTGTCAACAAAGGTGCAGCCTCTTATCCCGCAGAATCGTCCCGCGCTCTGACTGATATGAGACATCCAGCTGTTCACATGCGTAGATCTGAGTAGCAATGCGTGAAAATTATGGTTCACGTTTAGTCATAGCATTGAATGTTAAGCATAAAACGTAAAATGTCACGTACCAGAACGTAACGCGTAATTGACAGATATAATTTCAACTCATCAGCCATCGCACGCCATCCGTCTCGATGCAAGAACCAAGCTCAACTGACAGATAGACAGACGTGCGTCACTGATTGGCGGCGCTGCGTTCAAAATTAAGAGGAGAAAGAGAGCTTTAGGAAATCTAGCCTATTCTATCGAATTTATGAACATTTTGTTTAAAATATAAAAAACGAAAAAGAATATTTTTAAGAATATTTTTAAGAATATTTTTAGAATATTTTTAAGAATATTTTTAGAAATGCCCGTAAAATATATTTTCAGCATTTAATATATTATCGAAGCAATCTCATGTAATTCGAGATTCCGTAAAAATAAAAGAAGTCAATCGTAGTAAACTTGCAATTTTTTATAAATTACATTACATTAAATTGAAAACAAATATGTATTGATATAATATTGAAATATAAAAGAGAAAAAAATTCTCTATCTGCAGGAGCCTGGGATTTGAAATTGGCTGTCAGAGAAGAAAACTTACTGCGCATGCGCAGTAGTGAGTGAAGTCAGATGATTCCAGTAGCGTACATATTTTATCGAGGTAAGTGGTACTCTTGGGCCCACAAATTATGGGAAAGAGATAAATAATAAATTCTATTGTTGTTATAATTATATAAAATATTCGTGTACATGCTCAACATTCAAAATATTAAGCATAGTAGTATTTTATATATAATTAATGTAGGAAAGTACGGGCTTTAAAAAAAAATCTGTGGACCTCAAAAGCCTCTTTGCACTGTACGAGTATGTCAAGAGGCAGTCACGTGATCAGGACCATAGTGAACATAGTGGAAAAAGTCCTTCCATCAGACATTATGGAAATCGTCATCGATAGTGGAGAAATTAATTGTCTTTCAATGATATCATAATTTAAAATTAGAGTTGTACGTATAAACTATTTTATTCTAAATATTTTATAATTCTCTTTACTCTCATTAAGTACAGCTTTGATATTGCCATAGGTACAGCTTTGAAATATGATACATCTACGACGAATGCTCGATAAACATATTTTTTTATCTTTCGATCTGAAAGTGCTTAACTTCAAACATGAAGACACACATCACATTATGATACCGAGAGTGTAAGTTTATATCTATTCTGATTTTATTTCTCTATTTTCCTTCTCTAATGCTTTTTACAATTCCATTTTTATTTCACAATCGATAATTTTATTTCACAATCGATAATTTACGATAGGTGCGTTAATAATATTGCTTTTCGATAATTGATTTCACTTACGGGATGGTTATGGCTTCAAGTCGATTTAAGAGGAAAACAAGCTATGATGAATATTAGTTTTCATAAAAAATTTTGAGATTATTTTGAAAGGATTTAATAATTTATTTTATATTGCATTAGAGTTTGATCTTATGATGAGATATTATAAGTATTTTTAAACGTGATATAATGTGTTTTCTCATAAAGATTTATGCCATCTTGAGACATACACTTTTCAAGGAAATACATTTTCCAAGAAAAAACCATTATTATGATATTACATAATAAAGGAAAATAAAGTATTTTATAAAGATTTATGTCTTGTATTACACGATTTTACTACATGCAATTTTTTAAAGATTTTTCTCTCTTTCTCTCGTTCATTTATTTATTTTAAAATATTTAAGATAAAGATAAATGATACAGCTGTGAAAAAATTACAGTTAAATATAAAACAATTAAATATAAATGTGATAATATTAAAATCTTGATATTATCATTTAGATTTTTCTAAGAAAATAACTTTAAATTTGCGTTTTTTGTTTTTTTCTCTTTACCATTCTTTTCTACATTTTTCTGATGTATGAGATTGCGTCGCAAAAATAAAGTTAATTTATGCTAATCAAAATAATATGTTAAAATAATATGAAAATTTAATTTAAAGTTTGAAACTTTGCTTAATGTGCACAATAAAATTAAAAGTTTAATAAGACTATTTAATTAATTTAATACAGACTATTTAATTTGTTTAATAAGACTATTTAATTATTTTAATACAGACCATTTAATTTGTTTAATATCTTAAATTTAATTAAGACTATTTAATTTGTTTTGAGTTTGAAAATTAAGTAATTATGAAGTAAAAACCATATAATTATTATCTGTGGTTACCGATTCATATTATAATATGTATTTGATCTGTTTGCTTTTATTTAAATTTTGTTTAAACAAACGACCAACTTTTCTTTTATTTTATTTATAAAAAGAGAATTTTATTTTATCCAATTAAAAAGCAGAAAGGAATTAAATTAGATTTTTTTTGCAATCAACGCCAAATAAGAAATATCCTTTTCCATTTATATAACAAAGCTATTATTTAATTCAATTCATCAACATTGTTTTTAATAATAAGGAGTAGCAATCGGAATAAAACAAATGTGCAGTTGTGTGAATAATGTATAGTTGTCTACATAATAATATTAATAGCATGGTGTATTGACATTGTTACCTATTCAATATTTACAGATAGACGACGAAGAGATACCGGATGAGAGATACAATGCAATAAGAGAATGAATGTATGTTATAATGCAACGAAGCATCGATCCGTGGAAACCCGGACAAGAGGTAATAATCTTAAAAATTAATCTTAAAGATGCACTCCAACTTTTCCATCACATTTATATAATTTATAATTTCCTATACACATTTAATAGTACACATTTACCACGAATTTCGTTATTTTGGATTAGGTTCAATCGTTTGAGTCGCATCAGAACATATACAGAGGATACGAATGGGCTAAGGATTGCAGCCGAATTCGATGGAATATGCTGAAATAGTCGTCGGGAGGAACCAAGGAAAAATCCAATCACGCAAACGGAATGGGGTGGCAGTTCGCCTGGATAGGCCTGGAGGTAAGTGCGACCTGGAAAAACTCTTATCACGACACGTAGCCTCTTCCAAGGATGAGAATCGAGTGGCGACTTCTCGAGGGTTGCGCGCGCGTGTCGAGGGGGTTGTTGCGCGATATCGGTGGCTGCGCGTTGACACTCGGCGCGGGCTCTCGCTGCGTCGGCAGCGCAGCATTACCACCACGTTACCCTCGCGATACGGAGAAGCGAGCGGAGAGTGCGTCCTGACGCGCGCCAACCGCTTAGGTGAGGAAGCGCGCAGCCGAAAGAGTCGAGCTGGGTCTTCGTCATAGGCGCAGTTTATCCCCTTTCACCGTCGCGTTCATTTCTTGAAACAAGTAGTAGTCGGACGAGTATCAACATCGTGCTCGAGTCGACCTCGAATAACGACGTGCTCCTAAGGCGACCAGGATTCGATCAGCTCACCCTTTCGGAGAGCATCACCAGGGTGTTCTCACATGTGAGTACGTAACGAGTGACCTTTCAAATTAGTTTGTTGCTCCTCGTCGATCGAAACTCTCGGAGAGCGATCTCCAACGTCACGATTGACTCTGGAACTTGCTGGGTCGTCGACCTGTGGTTGTCTTGCGCGAGTGTCGTGTAGAGTTTCATCGAGCGGAGTGCAGTTCCGTATCGTGATTCCCTTTGTTGTCTTTAATCCTCCGGGAAAATCTCCCAACTACGGGTGTCCTCCGCACATAAGGTCTCTGATCATTCCATCGGTGAGGACGACTCGTCGCTCCACGCGACCAATTGATCACAGTTTTCCTTCCTCTCTCTTGCGTCGCGTTAACCGAAAGCAGCATGGGGGACCAGGAGCAACAGGAAACGATGCCGAGCGTGGTGGAATTGAACGTGGGCGGCGTCTTCTATACCACCGCCTTGACCACGCTGACCCGCGAAAGCGACTCGCATCTGGCAACGCTCTTCACGGGCAAATCCAGCGTGGAGAAAGATGCCAAGGGCAAGTACTTCCTGGATCGCGACGGCGTACTCTTCCGCTACGTGTTGGACTTCCTGCGCAATCAGGCGTTGGTCCTGCCCGAGGGCTTTCGCGAACGCGAGAGGCTCAAGCAGGAGGCTAACTTCTACGGTCTTCCCGGTTTAGAGAAGGCCATTTTGGAGAACGTCGATTCTGGCGGGCAAATCAGCGGTGCGGTCGGCAAACGCACGCCAGGATACATCACGGTTGGCTACCGGGGCAGCTTCGCTTTCGGCCGCGAAGGTCTGGCCGATGTCAAGTTCCGCAAGCTCTCGAGGATCCTCGTTTGCGGCCGCGTGGCACTTTGCCGGGACGTCTTCGGCGAGACGCTAAACGAGAGTCGCGATCCCGACCACGGCATGTCTGATCGTTACACGTCGCGCTTCTTCCTGAAGCACAGCGTCATCGAGCAGGCCTTCGACATGCTGCAGGAGCAGGGCTTCAGGTTGGCGGGTAGTTGCGGTTCTGGCACCGCCGGCATCAACTCCGAGCAACTGAAACCTGGGGTGGATTCCGAGGAGAATCGCTGGAATCACTATAACGAGTTCGTCTTCGTGCGCGATTAAAGAGTTTCGTTAGCAATCTCTTCCGATAAAAGTGTACTTCGGTTGATCTGATCATCGACTCAAGCATCTTCTAAGCGTGCGAAGCGGCAAACACAGAGAAAAAGACTTCCTCAGGTACTTGAAAGGGTTCGGGCAGACGTAAAAACGGAGGAACACGTGCGTGATTAACGTGTGAGCGCAAAAAATATAAGACTCTCTTGGTTGCATACATAATGAGATCGATATATAGTATCGGATTTAGGAAAAGTTCGTACGAAAGCGTCGAATGTTCGTTTCGCAAGATTCTTCATTAATTTCGTCTCGCTAGAAATTTCCCAAAGTTATCGCATTATAATCAATCAATGTCGACATAACTAGAAATTTGGAGCGTTTCTATTCCGAGAGTATCAACATTGTCAGCCTTCTCTGAGGCATTAAGATCCTTTCATTATAATCGGCTTTTTCATCAAAGTAAAGAGAATAGATAAGGTAGAGATACATTTTCATATTTTGATAGAATCCTTATTTGAATTAACGCTTTATTAATATTAATAACGAGGAATTGAAGATTCATTAAAGAGAATTATGAACTCGTCGATTATGACTATATTGGATCTTTCAATAAACGTCATTTGTTGATAATTTCATTAAAAACTATATAATAAAAATTAAAAGTAGCAAATCGAACCATAAGAGCCTAAAAATGTTTGTTTTCAATCAAAGACACTTCATTGAATTCGTTTAACCATACCATATGTTTATTATATATAATTAATTATAAATAATATATAATATATAATTTATAAATATATAATTTATTATATAATAAATATATAATTTATTATATATTTATTATAAATATAATTTATAAATATATAATTTATTATATATAATTAAATATTTAATTCTATATAAGTTTGATTGGTAGTTGCACAAATAGAGCTGAAAACTTTTTTGAATACGTGCTACCATAATTGGAATTTGCCGACGGCAGCTCTAAAATTGCTGACAAAAATTTGATTCATTCTCAGAGGTTGCGGGAGAGAGACGTTTATTAAAAAGCAATTTCACATAAATCCACGAGATGAAAGACGCCAATGTCGGGCGTTTTTCATTGGTGGTGGACGCGAAGGAAGACAGTGAATGAAAGGCGCAGGAGGAAAGCGGATCCGAATGAAGGCTCAGTGATGTTGAAATATTTGCGAACGTACACGACTTGACCATTTAAAGGGGCAACAGTGTCAGACTACGTGTCAGTGATAAATATCGCGGGTGCGATAGACGATAAAATGTAAGAAAACATACAAACGCAAAAGACACTTAATGCAAATGGAAGTTATTTAATTAAAATTGAAGAATCGAATGTAAATGATACACGATAACACATGCGTGCATCTTTCTTATTCGATGCGGAAAAAAAAATTAAAGAAAAATCCCAATTATCGAGATCATCATTTCAAAAAAGTCTCCGATATTATCTAATACCTGTCAAGTAATTAATAAATAGTCGGACCGAGTAGTTTCTGCTAAATTATGGTCAGACCGAACTACTTATTAATGGCCGCTAGTTGGATGAAGTTAATTAACGGTATGTTGGAATATTTTTTAAAGTAAAAAGTATGCATAAACAACAGTTTATGTTGCAAAGATTCAAAAGAACGATGTAAACATACTAACGTACGGTGAATTATCTTTTCGGCAGAAACTTAACTTAAACAGGTAACTAGCTTTAGCTCGGTGGTCGGGCAGTCTTGTTGAATGCGTGTACTTACAACCCGACACGATGTCAAACGTGCTACTCAAGCAACAAAACGCTAGATACGTGTCTCTTGTAACATTCTTTATTAGGTTCTTAAGAGCATGAACAAAGTAACGCTTTTTTCTTTTGTGTCTGAAATGTTTTTCTCTAATTTTCTTCTATAAATTTGCCTTTTTGTAAAGTGGAACATAAGTGTGATAACTAATTCGCATCTTTTTCGACCTATCAAAGAAGAAAAGAAAGATTCATTGAAATATAATAAAAGCAAAATGTTGCTGTAAATTTACAATAAGTTTCATTTGATGAATTACAAACGATGCATTCACAAAATAATTTCAATAACAGTAAAACTTAAGTACTTTTTTCTTCTTATATAAACGGTTCTCGCGGATAAAAAGATAAAAAGATAAATGCCCGGTAAAAAAAATCTCAAGAGAAAGAGAGAAAAAAATTTTTCTTAAACAAAGAAATTAAAGATATAAAAGAAACTAGAAACATTTATTAATCAGAACAAATAACATTCAAATATTGTTATTTCTGAACAATATTTCTGTGCACACATATTTGAATTTAAATTTAAATTTTTTATTATGCTGTATGAATTACTTAAGATAGAAAAAAAATACTAGATTTTTATTTTAAATTCTTCGATTATATTATATGAACTCTTTATATCATGCAACAATTGCTTTTATTTGTCCGTTTATTAATATTATTAATAATTTACATATTCAAATGTGAAGGAGATTTAAGAAATTCATTGCGATTATCATATTTGTTGCAACAGGTTATTATGTAGCGGATAATGTTTAGCGATCCTTTGAAAAAGTTCAGCGCCGACGGCGCTGAACAGATGAGGCAAATATCGAGCTTTGCGCGTGCATTATTATCATTATCATAAAATTGTACAATGTTGAAGACTTTTTTCAAGAATGATCGAGATAATATATAATTCTTGTGACATAACAGAATCCTGTGCTATTATAAAATGATACTTATCAGACAAATGATGAATTAATTCTCGACCTTCAAAAAACCACATACATTTAGCTTTATAACTTTTCAGTAAGCTATTATATATTGGCAAAAATGATATATAATTAAAAATTATATATTGGAAAAAATTTATTACTGCTGAAATTCTAAGAGATAAAAATTCGCGGCTTGATATTTTTCCTTTGGCCGTCGGGGAATAATTTTAGGGCAATTATGCGAATCATATTCACTATTATTATTAGTGCGTTGTATGCTATTCAATCTGCGTCCGCAATAGATTGATTTATAATGACGTTATATTCTCGGACGTGAATTATGCGTGTCAACATGAGATGTTATCATTATGGACAAGATAGTCTAATGTGCGTTTAATAAAATTTAATTTATCCATCTTTCATCGAAACAATTAATTTTTTATAAATGAGACGAATGATGTTAGTCGTTAAAATTCTTGAAACGATGTTTCTGTGTATCAAGTGAAAATATCATTATATGATATATCACACACACATACACACACACACACACACACACACACACACACACACACAGTGAAACGAACAAACGACATTTTCGATTTTTTCAAGTTTGCCTCTTGTGGGAGCTGTCAAATATTAAATGCAATTGATGACGATGATGAACAGCATATTAAATCTTGCTAGCTGGGAGATTCTATTAATGTGAGGCGGTGATGTGTGTACCGTAATCGTATATTGCGATTACATTAGTAAATCGCCTACTTCCATTTACTCTGTACAAATAAAGACATTCAGGTAAATCAAACATGTAAGATAGTAGACGGATGTTGCAAGATATTAATGTAAGAGAGTCTCACGTAGAGCGACTATAAACTTTGAACTTATTTTATGATGGCATAAATTTCTAACCCTTTCTCACGATATATATATATCATTTGAATATTTATTTTTTATGTGCATTCATTTAAGACATTTTACATAATCATTTATCAAATTTGTTGACTTCGCACTTAATTTAATCGCAATATACACGTAAAATTGGGCCCAAACAAATATTTATTGCAATGTACAAAGTTCATTGAAAATTAGCATTATTGAAAAAAATATTTATTATGTCATTTTGAATTTTTGTAGCTAAAATTACAATGACTGATTACCATATGCGTTCGTCTATACTGTCAAATAGAATTAAACTATATTTTCTGATTAATATAGATTGATTTTTAAGATACACTGGGACCGATTTTCAAATGCAGTGAAAGAGTATATAAACATATTTACATATGTGCATATTAATATATTAAATTTATATATATTTCTCTTAAATTATATTCAGATTTTTGCGAAATCTTTCTTTGCATTTCTATATATTTTTTGCACATATGAAAAAGTTATATAAAATGTTGTATTTATGTGTTGTGAGCCTTAAAAGATACATATTATTTTCGGATATACGTAAAATTGTTTAATTGCACCAGTATATTACGTAGAGAACATCGGAATCGATGATATATCGATTATGATTCGTGATGTAGAGGTTCTATTTCGTAAATTAGAAACAGTACTATAACTCGCCGCGAAAGGGAGCGAGTCTCGAGTGAACAAATTTGATAGAAACTCAAAGCTTTTCGAGTTCCGTCAAATTTTAACAAATTCGAATCGTATCGAAATCTTTCGATTGTTCACAAATATTCGCTTAGCATTATTCGTCATTATTTTCTAGATATGAAATATCTATTTTGCATAATAATCTTTAAATTTTTATTTCGCTGTAAAATGTTTGATATACGATGGTATTCGAACTTCTCAAGTCATAATTAAACCTTTTAATTTTAATTAATTAAATTTTTCACAAGTTTTCCGCGCGAAATCTTTTCCTTTAACATAAAGTTTCCTTAAGTATTTTAGAAAAGTTTAGAGTTTGATGTTGGTATTCCGAATTTTATTTGTAAGATAATAGAGAATATAGGGGAAACACAAAAAGGTAGAAAATATAATATGTAGTTTATTATGATCCGATCTTTCTTTTTTTTGGAAATTATATCTATGATATATTAAAAGACATCTTTCTGCTATTCATAACGATGGAGTAATTTATCAAAGTTTCTTTTAATTCAATTAGGAAATGTCTTGACCAATCGAATTTAGATATATATATATATATATATATATGTATAAAATATTTTATGTATTAATACATAATACATATATTTACGGATCGGATGGAAGATAAAAGAGGTTTTTTCCAGCGCATTGCACATAGTTTGACATTCTTTGAGAAATAGTTGGACTAAAAGTTGCAACACGCGTCGTGGAAACATTTGATTCCGATATTCGAGACTCGGAACCCGTTTATTGGAGAGAATTCAACGAGTAGAATCTGAACGGTGTTAGATAGCGTGTAAGACTGTGGTGCGATATGAAATTATTGTACATGTATATACGTATATATAAGTATAAAAAGAGAAGAAATAAAAGAATGAGATGGTACAAGAATCATATGATTATGGCAATCTCCTGAATCCATCTATTTTATCCATTTTTAATATTATACTCGTTAAATTTTTTTCGCTACTTTCTTTCGTATCTTCCAATTAGACAAATGAGAACGGAAAACGTCGAATATAATATACAACCGTGAACATCATGTTAGGATGTAGGATGTAGGATGGTTAAATTTATAAAACACAATCATAAAAATTCATATTTTTTGATGAACACCTTATTCGATCTAAACAATTATATTTTCAATTATTTCTTTAATGGAATGGATATTAAATTCTGTATATGAGTGAACATTTTTATTTCTATTATTATACTCTGTGTGAGATACAATTTTCAATGATTTATTATCGAAAGTATTATTAGATTTAATTTTTGTGAGATATTGTAGTATTTCTGATATGTAAGATTTAAATTAAAATTATATATAATTTATATATCTAATTCTATAAATAAGACTGCGTAAATAAAAATATATAAAAATATGTTTTAAATATATT